TATAAAAATTATAAAGAATATAGAGTTTATGATGTTTTTAGAGTTTATAAAGATTATAAGAATTATAAAAATTATGGAAATTATAGAAATTTCCAATCGTAACAACACTATTGAACAATCATCAAAGTTGTTATAGAATATTAGTACTGTATTACTATAGGATTATCCCACATTAAGTAGATATAATATCTATTAGTAATAGTGAGAGTCTATCTATCTGATAGAAGAAAATGTACTGTGTGATGATTTCGAAGTATATCTATTACAAAGAGATTGAGTAACTATAAAAATTATTGTTATTAGATGTTGATTGAACATCTACGTTATGATAACACCTACCAAAAGCCTAATTATGACAATACCAATTACTTAAAAGAAAAAAGAAACTATAATATATGATAATTTTGATTTTAATGATTATAATATTGAAGATGATGATAATGAATTTGAAGAAAATATAAAGATCAATTGATAAAAGATCAATTACTATTATGTATAGAAGAAAATTTTAATGAAAAACCAGCACTAAATATTAAAATTGAAGAATATTTCACACAAATCAATAATAAAATATATAATCAAATTGATATTAATAAAATCAAAAAAGAATATTTAGAAGATTTTTATAAATATTCACATTTTTCTAAAAATAATAAAAATTGCAAATAATGTATGAAAGAACAAAATATTTATTAACAATTAAAAGCTATATAGAACTAACTTATAATATTGTCAATATAATAATTAAAACTAATCTTATAATTTAATAACAAAATCAATTACAATAACTACTTGATGAATATACTGACTTATTTAATATTGAAACATTTGGTTATATTAATATTATACAACATGAAATTCATCTTGAAGAAACTCATCACATTACACTCAAATCATATACTAGAAAGTCACCAATTGAGAATAACTTTCTAGAAGAAAAAATCCAAAAGATATCAAAACAAGATATAATATTATCATTAGATAATTTATAATTAGCTCCAGTTGTTATTGTCAAGAAGAAGAATAGAAAATATTATTTATGTGTTGATTAATAATAATTGAATAACATCACTAAAAAAGATAGATATTCACTACCTTATATTGATAAACTTCTAGATGCATTTCAAAATGCTAAATATTTTTCAATTATTAATCTCATTGTTAATTACTGGCAAATAGAAATGAAACCAGAAGATAGAGCCAAAACTGCATTCATTACCAAGTAAGATTTATTTGAATTTAATATCATGCTATTTGATTTAATCAATGTACCTACTACCTTTTAATGACTTATAAATATCATATTTAAAAAGTATATTAACAAATTTATAGTTGTATATTTGAATAATACAACTGTATATTCTTCTATATTTGAACAATATTTTCAAAAAATTTTAGATAAAATTTACATTATTGAATTAAAAATACAATCAAAAAAATGTTATTTTGAAAAAATATCACTTCTTTTCTTGACTATATTATTGAAAAGAATGAAATTAAATCTAATTCAGCCAAAATTGAAAAAGTTCAAAGCTTTTCAGTATTTACTAATTTAATCACACTTAAAAATTTTGTTGAATTTGCTTTATATTATAAAAGATTTTGCCAAAATAGTATCATTTCTTTTTCATAAAGATAAATTTTTTATTTGAACTGATAAACAACAAAAAGTCTTTGAAGAATTAAAATAATATCTAACAACTGCATCAATATTGACATTGTTACAATTCAAATATTTTATAATATAATTATTTTATTGATAATTAATTATTTTTATTATATTTAATATTTTTAATAATTTAATTTAATTAATTTAATTATTTATTATTTAATTATTTAATTTATTATATTCTTATTGGATGAATTTAAAATCATATGACTTTTATGTATAACATGTAATTTTAACATGTGATTTTTATATATGACTTGTATATGTAATTTTACATGTAACTTATTAATTATTATTATAAATATAGCTAATCTTATAATTATAGAAAGTCAAGTTGTAATTAATTAGATCCAACACAATAAAGTTATAATAATTAATCTAATTAATAACTTAAATAAAATACTATATTTAAATAATACTATTATATTTTGCATTTATTAAATACAACAAAATTATCTTATATGCACTAATATTATCTTGATAATATTATATATATATTTATTATATTTTGATTTATAACTTTTACATTGCTAAGAATATAAAGTACACTTAGAATTTAATCACACTAAGAAGATTCACAATATCTTTTAGTAATAATAATAAAATAATATATATTCGTTAGCAAATAAATTTATATTATGACTAAGTTTAGCTATTTTGACATAATATTATTCATATTAATTTAGTACACAATTTTTAAAATTAAAAATATGTAATAAATTAATGATAAATTTGTTTAATAATAAAATTATATTTTATTATTATTAAATTATGATCTTATAATAAAATTACATATTTATTATATAAAATTCTTTAATTAAATACTATTATTAAAAATTTCAGATCTCATTTTAGCTGATCACATTATGAATATACTATTATCTCTCTTTAGATTTATTATAATCATAATTTAATACTTGATATATTATATAAATTTAATTATATTATACTTTTTCATTTGTAATTCTTAATAAATTTTACTATAATTATCTTGATTAAATAACTTATTAAACACTCTTCAACTCTCTCAAGAATTTATAAAATATAATAATAGTATAACTTTTATAATTTTATAAGTTATAAAATTAACAAATTTAATATTATTATTGTAATAATATATAAAAAAATTAACAAATTTAATATTATTATTGTAATAATATATAAAAAAATTCTTTATAAAATATTACAAAATTATTTAAAATTATAGCAGCTTATTAATTTATTTCAAGAATTTGCTGAAAAAAATATTAATAAATAATTTAATTTAGATAAAAGTTTACAAATCAATAATATTAGTAATAGAGAAAATGATAATTCTGCAATATCTCGATTAAAAAATTCAAAAAAGTATCACAAAAAAAGATTGCTGAATATTAAAAGATTTAAATCATTATATAAAAATTACAAATAAAAAATAATACATTAATATTAATATAAGAAAATATAACAATATAGATTATTATCAAAAAATTGCAAAATATATATACTTATTTATTAATAATATTAATAATATTAATATAATCATATATGTTTTATATTTGCTAATATATTATATCTAATCATCAAATTAGAAATAATAAATAATAAAAATTAGTTTATATAATTAATATAATAATAAGAAATATAATTTAGAAATATAAATTATATATATTATTACTATTTGGAGCTTTTGTGTATAAAAGTATTTCAAAATGACAATAATGACTGTGTTTATGATAATTTACTTTGAATTTTATAAAAAAATAATATTTATAATGATAGAATAATATTTCTTGACAAGATAAAGATGATGATAATAAAACTAAACTAATAATAAGGCTAAATTAAAAGAAAACTTAACCAAAAACTACTTCTAATTTCAAAAATAAAATCAATTTAACATGTCAAACTTGATATTAAACCAAAAGAAATTTAAAACTAAAACTAAAAAAACTTAAATCAAACTTTGAGAACTTGAGAACTTAAAAAACTTAATTTTTATTAATTATTAGCACTTGTATATATATATGTTTTCATATTACAGTGATACAGTATGACATAGTTGTGACACAGCATATGACACAATAGATTTATGCTAATATTACAAAATTACTGGTTCTTTTCTAAATTATATAAAATTTAACTATATTATAATTAATAATCTTGTTTTACATTAAAGTATCAATAGCAAAAATAAAAAATAGAAACTAAACTAATATAAAAAATGATAAATTTACCAAGAAAATTGTGTAATTAATATATTTAAGTGAAGATAATAATGAAATAAATATAAAAAAATAAGTGATACGAGAAAAAAAAGAAAAAAATAGAAAGAAATAGAAAGTTACCAAACTAAGTACATAATTCAAATATTATTATAACTAATTTTTATCATAATTGTGTCTTTTATTCATGTGTTCTTATATTGAATCGATGATAGTATATTGAATCAGTGACAATATATATTAATAAATAAAATATTGCAGACAAGTTGTTTTCAGAAAAATATATATAAATCTATATTTATTATATAAATACTTTAATTACTTACAAATGCTATAGTGTAATAAATACTTTAATTACTTATTATTATATAATTTATATATATTATATACTTTTATATCACATGATTTTTGGAAACTGGTGATATATCATTATGATAACAAATTACAAAATCCTATTTTAAATACAAGTTATTAATTTCTAATTTGATATATTTTATTAAAATTAAACAATTTTTATTGTAAAAATCTTTTAACTCAAATATATGAAATATATAATAATATGAATTTTATACTTGAAAACAGCAAATTTAATTTTATGAACACCAAAAATCTGTTATAACAGATTAAATATATTTGATATTTCACCTGACTGTTAGTGATCATAAAATTCAATAATAATATAAAAAAAGATAAACAAATAAAAATTGATAAATCATATTAAACAAGGCAAGCAAGATGAAGTTGTTCTGCTAAATTTTTTATTATTTCATTCATTTAACTGAACATAATTAGCTATAAACGAAAGAAAAAATGTTGAATTAAAATATTTGTAGAAAAAATATTAAAAAATTTCAATATACTTACCCGGAAATAATCCGTTTATTCCTTCAGGATTAGTGCCGGTCCACCAATCATCCGAATCAAATTGAATATAGGTGATTAGTGCACCCTCTGCAAACGAAATTTCATTTTCCTCGGTCGCCTCATAATCATATAGAGCGATGGCCGTCTGACCAGCCGACTGTGGCTCAGGTTCAGGTTCCTGTTCGGGCTCAGGTTCTTGTTCGGGCTCAGGTTCTTGTTCGGGCTCAGGTTCAGGCTCTGGCTCAGGTTCAGCTTGTTTTAATGCGACCTGTTAACAAAGTTTATTAAAATTTTTTATCTTGTAAATTATTTTGAGAAATCCAGAAAAATTTAATTACTTGATGCGGATTTGCTATCAATTCCACATAATTTGCTAATATTATGCAAGAAAAATATTAATATTTAGACTAAAATTTTACTTTGAAAAAATGTTCATAACAATTGCATAACTACCAGGAAACAATCCTTTTTTGCTTCCATCTTCGCTCACACCTTCCCACCATCCTTCATCAAGCTGTACTATATTTGTGATTATCTCCCCTTCTACTAACGGCATTTCATTCCCCTCGTCTAAAATTTTGAATTAAATAAATTATATCTATAATTGTAAATTGCGTTTAAATTTTATGTTATTGTATAATTATATAAAAAAAGTTTACCAGCATCATAGGCATATAATACAACAGCTGATAAGGATTCCGATGAAATACCGACTATGGCATCAGCAGCAACCAATTCAGCAGTGTCAGCAGCTAATTCTACCGTCTGAAAAAAAATTATAAATATTAAAACAAAAGAAACGGAACGAATATTACTACACGTTATTAATAAATACTTGTGCAAGTTCTTGTTCCAGTTGCTGCTGTTCTGCTTCAACCTGACGTAATTCTTCCTCCTAATTTCCAGTACAAATTTTTTAATGACAGTGAGGGTAATGAACGAAATATAAGAAATATCTGAAGGAATTCGTACATTTTTTAATTGCTCCTCTTTTTCTATCTCTAGTTTACGTATACGCGCCGCTTCTACTAATTGTTCTCGCTCTTCTTGTGCTTTTCTAATTCTTTCTTCTGCATTTCTTCGAGCCAGTTCCTCTTCTTCGGTTTTTCGACGTTCTTCCTCTTTTTCACGTAGTTCACTTTCACGTTTCCTCTCCTCTCTTTGTACTGCTTCACGCTCGCGTTCTTCACGTTCACGTTGAGCACGTATTTCTGCAGGAGATGGTGTGCTTTCATCAGATTGTTTAGTCCATGTTGAACGCGCACCCAATGGTTTCGGATTGGGTAAGTGTATTGGTTGATACACCGATCCCTGTTTTGTTTTAATAATTAAGAATTTTAATATGGTAAAGAAATAATTCTAAAATATTAAATTGATTAGAGATAAATGTATTAACCACTGGTTTTATACGATCTTCGGGAGAAGCAGCTGCTCTTTGCATCGCCGCAATATTCGGTATTTTGACTGGTTCATAAACTGATCGCTGTATTTATTTTATCAACAAGAAAACAATTGGATATTCGCGTCGTAAACTGAATAAACATATATTTTTTTAGATAGATACCACAGGGAGAACAGGCTCAGCTTTTCGTGGTGGTTCTTTATTAATAGAATATTTTGATCCACTACTTTCATTGATTCTTTTCATTATATACGCGGGATCAACGTCAGTCTAAAGAGAATAAATACTAGTTAATTATAATAAAATCGAATAGAAAGAAAAGAAAATGAAATTAAATGTATTGAGACCTCGGTACGCGCGTTAATTTGAAGATGATATCCCTATTAAAAGTAATTATTATTGTTTTTGTATATTAGCTCCATCTTTCTATTTAGACATTAAAAATTTGCACGCACCCTTATAACAAACCTTCAAAAAATTCGCGACTTCGTTAAAATGTGAGTTAAATAAGCCTTTTTTCGTTTCAGGTACACCATCACCGCACTTGAGGAACGGGGACACAAAAACGCCTTAATATCAATGCCAGTCAACACACTGGAACCTTTTATACTTGAGATAACCGCACATGAGGAAAATGGTACTTTACCCAACCAATTAGCACAAATTTTGGCAGTCCAGTATTCGGGTCTTTAACGCGAACAAACGCGTATTGTACTTTCCCATCATTAAATTCATCCTCGAGTTCTTCTAAGCCCCCACCTGTATAAAAAAAATTGGATATCCATTCATTCATGACATTAACGAAATCAAAATTACGCAGTTCATTATTATTTAAACCACTGAAATTAATTACACACCCCCTTGATTTGAAACTTTCAATTCATTTGTTCCTTTATCATAACCATATACAACCCAATTAGTTTCCTCAGCGCCATTGAGCACTGCTTCATAGGTAGAACGAAGTTCTTTCGAGTATGTAGTAAAATTGACTCGAAGGCTCATAGTATTATTTTCTATCGCCAAAGATAATAAGCACCTAAACTTTTAATATTGATCTCATTCTGCACAATGACATATTCGTGTATTTTTTATATCAAGATGATTGGCATAATCTGTAGAAAATTTAAACCTTAATTTAACTAATTTAGTAATTAAAATTGGACCAAGGTTTAAATTTTCTACAGAGGGTGGTTATGCAGCAAATTACGGTATTCGTAATGCTTTAGTTTATAGCATGAATTGATACAACAGTTCAATAATAACGGTTAGTACGTCTGGCTTGACTTCTGTTACTAACTATTAACGCAGCAAGTTCAATTAGTGGAAATGCAACTGGTCCAGTGATTGAAAGCTACAAATGTGGAGTGTTTCTTTGGCGATGGGAAAATTGATTTCCTTTATTATTCTAATATACTGCTATTAATTTGTTTAAATAACTCGTTTCTAAGTGAGAAGTGAATTTATCGAAAAATTTTAGATCAGAGATTGAAATTAATCATCAAATTCCAATGTGGCTTTTGGGAGGGGGGAGGGACCAGATAACTTTCACCAAATATCCCGCATTAAAACCGAGATTCCTGACCCAGAAATTCTGAAATCTCCGGAACCAAAATCTATAAAGAAAAGGTGTTGGGATCAGTACTGCGGTGAGGCAATTGATATCCAGCGAGTTTGAGCCATTTTTTACTTGTGTTAAGGGTATCTGACGCTTCAAGTTTTAGCTTTTGAAAGATTAAATTAACATAATTTATTTTTTTGGGGTGAAAAATTAAATTAGCTTGGTTGAAATTGAGTCTGTCACTTCTCGAGAATAAATCAATGTTATTATATCTGCACATTAGGGCGTGCCATTTATCAAATATTTTTTTAACAGTTCTCCATCTATGGTGATTAGATCACTTCCACTTTTTCAAGTCTCCTAAATTCTGATACATATCAGCATCTAGGATTGTAGCAGCCACTTGATTAAACACCTCTAAGGAAGTATCTAACACAACGATAAGCTTTTAAATAAGCCTCCAAGCTGTGATTATATTATCTGCCAAAACCAAAAATCTGCACAAATACGCCATATCTTTAGTTTTTAATCGTGAAATTATCGTAATCGCACGACTTTAGGTGCAAGTCCAGCTAAATTCTTTTAATCATTATTGCGAGAACCTCGAGATCAACACAATTTTGCCACATGTTGCATTGCTTCCGAAGATCCACGCCGTGTACTTGTAATTAATCCAAATCGTAATTTTGTTTCAGAGTTAGTTGAAAAGCATTAAAAGCGTCAATTTTTCGAGTTTTATAAAGTTTGATGCAAGCTTATTCGATATATATTTTTTTATTATCTCGATCACGAGTGATTTTCTAACTATCAAGAGATCCGCTTGCATTGTACCAACGGGAAGTCTATTTCCTCCTTATCATCTTAATTATTTCAATTTACGCAACCTGATTCTATTAAAGTAGAAAACGTGATATAAATAATAGATATCATGCCGTGGTTTTGATGACGATATCGAGGCTGATCCGTGTGATATCTGATTTATCTCACGGAGACTAACGCTCATGATATTTTTGATCATATCTTCACGGATGATTTGGTATCAATCAGTAGTTTATCACAGTGATTGAAAAATATCACACAGAATTAAATCATCTGTGAAGGTATCATTAGTAAATATAAATTACATCATCTGATCAACAAGCCAAATTTGAATTTCTAGTTTCTTTCATATCTAATTATTAACAAGCAATATTAACTTTGTTACAGTATTTAGATGCAAGTGCGTTCTTTAGTCAGAGAAGCAATCTTATTACTTACTTAAAAATCCTTTTCTAACTTCTAATAGAAATGATTACGGTCTTCCCTCGCTGTTATCAACATCATGGGACCGGATATTTTGTTAACATATACGGGGTGAATCTAGTGTACCGAAATCTGGATTACGAAGTCTTTTCCAAAGAGAGGCTAACAAAGGGTAAATATGTTATTAATATTGTTTATCCTCTAAAAAAGAAACAATTTTTTTAACAATATTTACTTTCTTAGGAATCCATTGTACTTATAAGGGCGGATAACTACGAGGTTGAGTTAATATATAATTTAGTATCATTTGAAATATGTTCCGCGCTAACAACGTGGTGTTGATATTATCAGGTCAGACTGTAATGCAATATTCGGAATGTCAGACAAAGCTTCGATAAATCTGGCACTACGAAAGAACGATTACTTCTATCGCTATCCAGCTTGATAAAGAATCCCAGTAGTTTAGGATTTCGAATGTTTGATACTGAATTTCGAGAACATATTTTTTCAATTTTTTTTTAAATAAAATTCATTCTAGATGCTACGCGAAACGTATTTATACAGGAATTTATGGTACATTTCTTTATTCGGATGGATTGTAATACATCAATAATAGGTAGTGCTAACGCTAAGTAAAGTTGTTATTTCAGAAAGAGAACCACGACTCCATCAAGCAATGCCCTGAGGAATATTCTCTAAGCACCATAACTCAGATTCCTAATCCCTTGACCTTGCTTGACCTTGATTGACCTTGATGCGTAAACGTTAATGAAGGTGAGCTGCGTTAAAATATCATATGTGCCTAGAATTTTGGGTTTTTTAATGCTGAATTTCAGAAATTAGGGACGCTAATAACGAGAGAAGATCGACAGAGATACGAAAAAGGAGACAAAAAGGATTCCTGTTCCGTGCTAAGCATGCACAGAGATGCAAAACACACGGCACGCATCCAAAAAAAGAAAGAGAATTCTTCTGTACTAAAATCCAACAACCAATCGAGCAACCAGTAGTCTCAATAGTCTCCCTAAACGTTTGTTATATCGGACAAATTAATTTTTCGTTGTTTTTCGCCGATATAAATGACATATGTAATATTGTTCTTTTAAAAACAAGCAGACTACCATTTTTATCACCTATCACGAAGAAATGAAGAAACTAAAGCGATCACCTGATTTTGATTATTCAAAGAAGTAAGGTTTGCACCTTATGTGGAAGCATACGGTAAAAAAAGATTCACCGTGTGTTTGCAAAGTGATCTTGAATCGCGGGTAGTCATTCCGGGGTGGATGGCTATTTTTGAAGGGTCCGAATTTTCTTTAGGCAAATTCGTCGATGCCTTTCGCAGGTTTCCCGTTTTCGAATGGACGATTTGTGAAGACATTGGCAAAGAAACCAAAAAAATTAGCAGCCAGAAACGAATCCGTATTCTGGTAGCGCGACAAGCAAGTGTGTATTTCAGTGCGCGATGCGCAATTATATTATTTACCAAACAGAGTTGCGATCAACAGATTGTTGGACGACTCGATTGTCCATCTATCTAATATCGCATGCGTATGGTAGATCGATTAAAATTGAGCTGCACTTTATGATAAGTGGACAGCACAATTTTTGGTCGATCTTGCCGTAGGAAAATGAAAGAAGTTGGAAAAAGGGAGAATGCACGTGATGCGGCATAATATATATATGTATGCACGCATTATGGCATTCGCGCAAATTCAGTGCTTTATTATTTATATATATAGCATGTTTGTGCAAAAGATAGGAAAAAAGTCAATCTTCTCATGGCGAGAAGACTTGATGAGGAACGGGGGAGTGGTCGCGAGATCGCCAGTTCCGATGCAAAATTGCTACCTGGTTGATCCTGCCAGTAGTCATATGCTTGTCTCAAAGATTAAGCCATGCATGTCTAAGTATAAGCAAGTATACTGTGAAACTGCGAATGGCTCATTAAATCAGTTATAGTTTATTTGATAGTGCCTTACTACTTGGATAAC